TGCCAACACCTTTACCCTTGGACACATTGATCCAATGTCTAGGGGTTTATCCCAGAGATCTGCTGACAAACACAGAAAAAAGTGTGTACACAGTGACTCACTGCAGAGCTGTTTGTCATAGCAACGTCTGGAAACAACCCAAACATCCATCTATGGGAGAGAGCTTGCAGGTCTGAGTAAACTATGGCACGTCCACACGGTGCAAGGAGCACGTTCTCTGTACCGATGGGGGCTGGGGGTGGGAAACCTAAGGAAGAAAAGAGCACGGGTATAGAACAATCTCTACAGCGTGCCAACTTCCGCATAAGAGAGGAGGATGTATATTGACTTATAAGACTACACACGTGTTTACATTAATTTACAGAAACTCTAGGAAAGTGGCTGCCTTTCCTCTTAGTTGCTTCAGGCAGGTATAACAAAATGCCACAGGCTGGGGCGTTTCTGAGCAGAAGTCTATTGCTCACAGCTCTGGAGGCTGGAGATCCAAGATCAAGATACCAGCAAAGTCACATGAAGGCCCTCTTCTGGCCTGCAGACTGCTGACCTCTGTCTGTCCTCCCCTGTCCGAAGAAGTGCGGGGCTGGGTGGCGTCTCTGAGAGCTCTAGTCCTGCCCTGGAAGCTCCTCCCTCGTAACTAAGCTCCTCTCAAAGGCCCATCTGCTCCTACATCTCAGTGCCTTTCCCAGGCTGCACTTAGTGGGCGCCCAGCCGTGCTTGTTGAGGGACTGAGGGACTGACCCACAGCTTAGGAAATGCAAATTCCAAAGTACACCTACTCCTAATACCCTGCCTTCCCCCATCCTGTCCCTTTCTTGTCCCTTGGCCCTAATCATGATTTTGGCTGTTCCCTTGGCTATGACCACACTGTCTCCACACTCATGAGATGGCAAGAGAACCTGAGCCTTGCCCCTGAGAAAGAAGCCCAAGAACCCCAGAGCGTTCACTTCTCCCTCTCAGAGATCTGGTCCCTGGTGGTCCTCACAGGCAACCAATTTCCCACCTCCTTCCCTGCTAGTCCCTGGTGTCTACTTACCAGCATTTCTCTCCTTGCTTCTCCTTGCTTTAAGCCTGATGCAAACCCAGGATACAAAGGGAGAAAAAACGAGGGAAGCTAGAGTCCCATCCTCAGAAGTCTACGTCACGCTGGGGAGACAGGCCAGAGAGACAGGGCAGTGCCACTGACAGAGCTGTCCCCAGACGGTCATCTCATTTTCGACACTGGAAGTCTGGTCTGACCTAGAGCCTGAGTGTGACCTCAGCATTCTCGAGTGTGCAGCATCCCGGGCCAAGAAGGTAGTTCTATCCTCAGGCTCTCCTCGGGTGGGAGAAGGGAGACTAGCAGATGTCCCCACCCTAGTCCTGACCCTGACTCAAGATAGGGAGACCCCAGAATCCTCATGGCCAGTCTGACTGGTCCTCTGAAAATATAGGTGCCCTGGAGAAACCCAAGTCCAGCTACACGGGGTGGCCCAGCTGGCCAGCCAAGGGACCAGGACTTCTTGACAGCAACCTGCCAGCAGGGTCTGAAGGCAGCTGCGATGGGACAAGGGCTCTACAGCTGGAGAACCACACTTACAG